TGGCCGAAAGGTGTATGTTCAATACATTGTAGTTCAGCTAATGAGACTAATTGCAATACATATAGAATTATTTTGACGATCATTGTTACAATGACAACCATTTAACACGTGCCTGCGTGTTTGTTACACGTAAATAAACTAGTTACTAAATAATATTGCTGTGTGGGTGAAGTCAATTTTGTAAAATGACACTAACATGTGTGTAAAGGTTAATATCCTTTATATTGTGGAAGACAGATTAGGAAGTTCGAAAAATAATATTTACCTTATGGTTTCATTTGTCCATAACAACCCATTATAGTCCTACTACTAGGCACGAGCCTGTCCTTACAAGAGGAGGATAGTAGTCTATTATTATCAATGTTGGTTATGCGGCTTAGGGTTTGAATTTTATTGCTGATGTCTTTTTTATTGTCTTTTGTTCCCTCATAGACACTTCTTACGATTTTCTATGATCGTGTGTGAAGGATGTGAAATGTTATATTTTAAGATTGTGATCCACAAAGATAAACCAATTTCAATCGAGGTAAAAACAGTATTTGGATTTAAAAATTAACTATTCAACCAATTTTGATAAATATTTTATGATACCAGACCAAAAGTAAATTCCCTTTCGAAAAAAGTATTTTTCAAATCGGTTTATAACTGACGGAGTTATGAGATAACAAACATAAAAAAAAATAGAATCTTCTTCTTTTTTGAAGTCGGTTGAAAATGTTTTGTGACAATACATGGATGTTTGAACTATGATTATAGTAAAATCATTCCTCTATTTACCCTTCTGTCTAACACGTAACGGCGTCCATCATCTGGTACCTAATATGGTTTAAAATTGTACACATATAAAACCAGCTATGTAGAAAAAAAATTATTACAGGATTCGCTTTTTAAATATGTTTAGATAGTAAGTAAAATAAGTACCGGAAGATTTTTTTTAATGGATGATAATAGAATGGTAACCCGCGCTATCGGTTTACACCGGCGGGGCACCAGTGAAGGATGATAGGTGAGAAAATAGAAGAATTGTTATAATAAGGCATATTGATAGCAATGGGGCTGTCAAACTCCATTGCTAACAATCCCTTTCCCCCAAGTACCGAAAGATTGTTACCTTTAACCGTCAAACAATTAGCTTTGTAGGTTAATAGATTACCTATAAATAAACAACATATCGTCATAGTCGTAGAATACTGAAGGATCTGTCAAGTATTACATATATAGATCCGTCAGTATTCTACGACTATGACGATATAATACAACACACATAGGAAGGCCTATGTTCAACAATGGACAGTTAACGGCTGATATGATGAAGATGATGAAATAAGCTTAAAGAAACAACTACGTCATGACTTGGTTGTCGATTCCTAATTGTCAAAAATAACCGGACATACCTAATTCTTCTTAATAGGTGATCTACTTGGACTTTCCTATGACAATCAACAAGGCAGCATTAATATTTAATGCTGTTCGCTTGTTAATTGTTTTTCAGTTAAATAAAAAAATTACATGATCATTAATATTGGTAGCAATTATTGAGCATGCAGTATAAGCAATTAAGGGACTCATTTATTGAGAAATTACACTGAAATCAGTGGGTAAGTACTGTTACCTACTCGAGATTATATTGTTAAGTGGATCGTATGCTTGCCAGCCAATATCACGTATAAAAAAATTACGCACTTACTTCATCTCACCGTTTTGTTTTTAATTCTCTCTTTATTTGGGAAGTCGTTATATAATATAAAGCAACAATAGTCACAGTGAAAGATCATGTAATGAGGCAAAAAAAGTTGACCTTGTCATCGACCGCGAAGTTTTAATTCCTGCTTCATTGGCTGGGAACGTTATTGTGATGATGTTTTTTTAGTTTTCTGTAGCAATGACTTGAAGTTTTTACCTTTAATTGGCGTGTAAAACAACTTCAACCATAAACATAATAGATATTTATTTCTAAAGTTGTATTTATTATTGACCATAGTTATTTACTACGTCCGCACCATAAAATTAACTCCATTCGTAAAGTATGCGATAAAGGTTGTTGATACGAATAAAATAAAAAAAAAATTATGTTTACGATTATATTCCTGATGATGATTATTAGACTGATGTTCTGAACTAACTAATAAAGTATCTTTCCACGCAACTTTATACGAGGAAGGGATCGAGTGGTATCTCGTGATTCTGTTGACCGATTCTGATAAAATCTACACCAGTTTTTAAGTTCGTTAACTAGTTGTTATAATACCTACCCATATGTTGTAAATATCCGCCATTTTCTCATGATCAAACAATTCACTGGCAGACAAATAAACATTAACTCTAAAAAGATGAGCGGTTTGGGTTCCGTTGCTTATTTTAGCCACCTTTCGTAGATACTTGAATTTTGATAGACATATTATATTGTAAACAATACTGAATAGCAGTTTGTTGTTCGTGGGCCATCGGGACGTCCGAAACTTTACTTTGGCTAGATCGTCACGCGGAACGGTTGTCGGCCCTGTTATTTTTGAATTCGTTTGTTTATAGTGTCAAATTGTATACAAGTCAAATTGATTTGGTCAAATCGCAAACTTTAATTTTCTTTATTTTACATTTATTACAATATGATATTTTTACAGATATTCAACTGACTTCAAAAAAGGAGGTTTATAATTTTTCATGTTTGTTACAGACCTTATAACTACGTCATTTATAAACCGTTTTGGAGAATTATTTTTTTATTTAAAGGAATATACTTTCAGATTGGGCTCATAGAACATTTATCATAATCGGTTTTGTAATTAAGTTTTTAAATCAAAAATAACTGATTTTGTTACGATTGAAGTCGGTTTTCGTTTTTGGGAACAACATCTATTTATTAGATATATTGTTTAAATAGATAGGTATAGAATGTAAATATCTATACACTTTATAATCTAAGGTGACCCCTGTCACTTCATTGTCTCACAGTCACTTGATTGATTTAGTTTGTAAAGTTCCATTTTTAAAGTTATTTTCCTCTCCAGTTCCCACTTCATTCGACACTAGTTTATCTGCTAGCTTAGTACCTGTAGTTTCATGTTACCACAATCCAGTAAAAATCCAGCAATTTAATTCCGACTCAATAATATTCCCTAAGGAATACAATTCGCAGTACCTAGGTAAGAAAATAATTTTGATTTCTAAGTAAATCGATCGCGTGATAGATAACAAAAATAATTTCTCATTTTAAATATATTATGTGTAAAATAAGGGTTAACAACGCGAAAATTTCTAACTAATCTCATGTTAGCTTTTATCCAAGACTTCGGCCGTGTGACCTGACCGGGATATGTTTACAAATTGGGATATAATGTCCTACCCACATTGTCTAACTTGTCTGCTTGTATCTAAGTTGTCTAATTTCATTTGAATGACATTAAAAATTATAATCTATTTTAATAGAATTGATTAATCTAATAACAAACAGTCTATAAGAGTAGTATAAATCAGAAATCGATTAAATTATTGTATAATGACTAATTTAATTTAGAGATTTTTTTATTAAGTTCTATTGAAATAGTATGTCTATCTGCTTTAATATGCCTCTGGAAAATACGTGACATTAATGTTGGTCACGGTTAACGCACAAATTCTTTCGGCGTTTGAATCATTAAAAAATAGATTGTTAGTAACGCATTGAATCAGTTAATTGAATATGGCATTCGGTAAAGCAGCGTTTCAAATTCCATATTTGAATATGAATACACTATTCATATTATAATACTAACTTTTACCCGCGACCTTGTATGCGTGAATTTTGAAAATAGGTATGTATATCTTTTCTCGGCTCTCTTATTATAATCTCTTGACAAAAAATCACATCTATAAATTAAACTGTTTTGTCGTTCGTTTTACAGTTCACCGGGCCTACTAGGTATTGTTATTATTTTATTATATATTTCTATTATTATAAGAATAAAGATGTACCTACAGATATTATCTAGTTACAATTTTATTACAACTACCTACCTGTTATGTGGCAGTATCTACTCGCATTTCAGTTACATATTATCATAATATATAGATAAAATATATGCAATATTCCAAGCAATCATTTCTCAACCTTGTGTTTGCTTGCACTCGATATATCTGTTTCGATCATGTGATCACGAGGACAAATTGTTATTATAATTACTCGTATTGAAGGCATACATCTGGACAGGTGTCGGATATGTTAAGGTCGTCACATATGTATGAGTATGTATGAATAAAATGGAATGCCAACCAGCCGTCTTGATTCATACTATCGGAGAGTTTACGATAAAAGTTTAGGTCTTTAATAAAATGTTTACTTTTTTTGAAAGTAATTTCCCAATTCATTTTCAGAAAAACTAACATATTAACTATTTAGTTATGCTTGAATAAAAAATATAGTAAGACGTGTTTATCGAGTTATGCCAAATGTAGGAGATGCTTCTGAACAAACATCGTTTTGGACTATTCGTTTGTTGTGTTTTCGTTTTACGTTCGAATTGCTATGATGCTGCTTATTTACATATTTACTAATTTTCAAATGATAAGAATGAAAATTACTAAAGACATAATTTGATGACGGGGATTTAAGGTTATTTATCAAAATGAATCTACCGAGTGTAATGACAAGAAAAATTGTATGCATACCAAATCTATCAGTGATGAACCATTTATATTTAACAGAAAAATTTCTATAACATATTTAGCCAAGTTTAATCTAATAAATATGGTAAATAAATGTAGTAAGTAGGAAAATGGAACGGTAACCCCGCTTGCGCTATCTGTATACGTTGGCGGGATACTACTAGAGAGAGATGATACAAGATAGGTGAAGATAAAATCAGGTCAGTTGAGCTGTCGTGACAAATTTACTAGTAATTAATGACTATAGTTTCTAGGGAAAACCGCATAAAGGTCACATGACGTAGTATATTGCGGTATTGCGGTAAATATTCTGTTTATATTTTTGTATTGTTGGTTAACAATTACATTATTTTCTTTAGAACAGGAGGCAATAAGAGGGATCCAGGATGGGGGCGATGTTCAGGAGCGAAGAGATGGCCCTGTGCCAGCTCTTCATCCATCCAGATAAGGCAGCTTACACCTCTGTCCCGAGCTTGGATGTGTGTGAAGCAGTGGACGTGTGTGTGTGTATATGTGTGTGTGTGCATGTGTGTGTGTGTGTGTTTGTTTGTGTGTTTGTGTGTGTGTGTGTGTGTGTGTGTGTGTGTGTGTGTGTGTGTTTGTGTGTGTGTGTGTCAGAGATGTAAGTATTTAAATTTATTGCATGACAAATATATAATTTTTTATTTTCGTCAATTTTAATTTTTGTGTAATGATAAAAAAAATGCGAAAATTTAAATCAAACCAAGTATTGTATTTACTTGGATATATAAGTACAGTTCCAGTTGCTAAGTACAATGTTTTTCGTTCTTTATATTTTATTTTATTCTTTAAAATAAGCATACATAAGTTACAAGGATAATATTCTTATGGTCAAGTGAGTAAATACATAGCTTTTACAACTGTCACAGATATAAAAAATAATGGTAAAACTTTTTGTATGACTAAACTGTAAAAAATTACTAATTGTACAAATACATTTTGTATTATAAGATTTTCATATCGTTAGGTATAATTTTATCGGAGTTGGTTGATTCATTAGGCAGTGTAGGCAGCTGTTTACGGGCCCCTATTTTTTTTTTTTGATGGATGAAAATGGTATGGTAACCCCGCCTTCGCTAACGGAATACGCTGGCAGACCACCAGTGAAGGGTGATAGATAAGAATGAAAACAGGCCAGTTAGCCCATCATGATGAATTCATCAGGAATTAACCATGATAGTTTCCAGAGAGAACCGCGAGGAGGTCGACCTGGTTGGGTATATTGCTAACAATGGGATTCTCAGTCTCCATTACTAACAATCTCTTTCCCCCTAAGGGCTCCTATTGACTAGGGTCGCGCGCCTAATCAAATATTTTTTCGAGTTTCTTTAAATGAAAATTACATTTGAAGATTTGTATCTAACAAACCCTCAATTATTGCATCATCATGTTTTAGTATATTTCGTAACGCAATCGTAGAATAATATTAAAGCTTTCTGTGATCGAGACGTGCATTGCCTAGGGGCCCGAACATGGTTAATCCGGCCCTGATTATTTCTATACCTACTTACATATGCCCTTCATATTGTTAAAATATAAAATGCATGGGTACCTCCTTAGAGATAAATTAAGGTAATTGTTAAACACTTACAATAGTAACAACAAGTATCAACAACTTTAGGGTTAAAAATACACTTAGAATTAGAATTTTAGAATTTCCACCTAAGTTTTGAGTCTTCATGACTAATTTCAAGAATGTAGGCCAACGGAAATTACTATCTTTAGTTTTATCGACACTTTATCAAGTACCTAGGTACTGTGGGGTTATGCATTTGTATGACTATTATAATCTTTTTTTGTTGCATCATAATACAATGAAGTTATAAAGCACCTACGTAGACATAAGACCTTAGTCCCCAGAAATAGCATCGCATTAAGAGTACAGTGGAGGTTACAGTATTCTTTGCTTTCCATGTCTATACGAGATGATAACCATTTTCATCTGATGGGCTATAGCCCCTATACCGTCAGTTATTTGCCATTACAAAATGCACTAAAAAAATATTGAATTTCCATGGTAGGTAATTTGCATAAGTTGGTAATTAAGGTATCACTATGTACCCATTTGCTGCTTACGCACTAGTGCGAGTGATTTGTTTAAAACTAAAGTAAATGAATTAACAACTTTAAACATAAATATTCAAGGTTGACGTAAGATTGACAAAAAAACATATTCGTTAAATATTTAGACAAGCATTACACTGTTTTACAAATTGGACAACGTAACTAAGTAGCAATAATAATTAAAATATGTTATGTTATATTGCTTACACTTGATTTCACATTTAAAATGTTACACGAAATAGGCAGGTACCAGGTACTTATATAATATTTTTGTATCAGGTTTTGTGATTGAGTTAGAGGCAGTATTAGATTTTAAAGTGACATAAAATACGAGGTCTGTCCGGAAAGTTCGTATAAAAGTGTTCTGGAATGCGAGAAAGAGGAGTGGGGAGGCCAGGTAAGCGCAGGACCCCTTCCTTATGTTAACAATGTTATATTGACCGCCGTTACACTTGATTGTCACATTTAAAATGTTACTCTTAACGAAATAGGCATGGAGCCAGCTTCCGTTATATAATATTTTTGTATCAAGAAGGTTTTGTGATCTCAGAGTTTATGGGGATGATGCTGTGAAGGAACCAACCGTCCACAAGTGGCTAAAAAGATTCAGAGATTAGTTCGATGTTCGGGGGATTGTCCATCAAAAGGCCAGACAGTTGATGGAAAAAATATTTAATCGTTGAATTGGCGCGAGAGGGGCGTTGGATTCTTACAAGGCACCTCTCTTGTTGTCCGTGAGTTTTTGAGTTAAAATTCCATTACGGTGACCGAACACCCCCCTATTCGCCGGATTTGGCCCCGTGTGACTTCTTCTTGTTCCCAAAAACCAAATTGGTACTTCGGGGGCGGCATTTGGGGGACATAAATGAGATAAAAAAAGCTACGACGGGGCAGCTGAGAAACCTACAACCAGAGGACTTTCAAGGAGCCTTCTCACAGTGGAAACGGCGTTGGCACAAGTGCATTATGTCACTGGGGGAGTACTTTGAAGGGGATAAAATTGATTTACCTGAATAATTGTAAAATAAAATTTTTAAAAAACTTTTATGTACTTTCCGGACAAACCTCGTATTCAATTTGCATTCACAGGCAGTTTGTCCAACAAGATAAACTAAGCCTCACTTTCACTGGAGGACAAAGGTAGTAGTGTAAATATGATTTAATATGTATACACTTAGAAAGTGGAAAACGAGTTTTTCGTCGTCAAATACCAGTAACTAATAATGATAGTACAGCATTGTAGTTCGACATTCGGATAGACACGCTCGTTCGACCGGTTCCTACAGTGTAGATCGTGTAGAATCTACACGATGGCGTTTGCATATTATTTTATATTCTTTTTTGTCTTATTTTTAAGACTAATTCCGATAAAAAGTTAATTCTGGCCTAACCTTACCTAACCTGAATACGTAGTTATATATGGGGACATAGGTTTATCTTTTCAGCATCTATGCTTACTTTCTAATATTTACTAGAACAATTTATTAATGCAATAAATGTAACATAATATATTATTATCGAATAACATAAAAAGTTGTCCTCATACGTTCCACTTCTGATTCTTTCTCCAGAATTCTTCAATTGGTACGTCATCTGACACGTGTATATGTGCATTTCATAATCGTGAATATCATGTTTCTTATTATGATGAAACATATATACGTTGCATTATAATTATTCTTTTTTTTACACTTAGCATATTTAGTATAAGTTAGGCGGCGGATTAGCAACCGCAGTTTGACTTTTGATGTAAAGTGACGCTGCTGCACATCCCTCCACCATAAGCTCTTTTAGTCGCCTCTTACATTACCCACGAGAAAGAAAGGGGTGGCCTATTCTATGCCGGAACCTTCGGGGCTAGTTATTTTATAATAAACATGCCAAGATCCTATATAAAAATATCTAAATATGTGCAAGTTAGGAAAAAAAAAACAGTATTTTATTCGATATAAAATTAGGTGATGCTAAGAAAAAATTATCTGCTAAACTGTAGGTACAGTAGATAAATGCTTATGGAGCGGCATGATTGGCATGTACATGAAACACAGCGGGCCTGTTTTTTCTCCATTGTAACTTTGGCGAATTTATGATTAGGTGTCTGGCATGAATATACGAGTAAAACAGATAAGAATAAGAAAGAGGAGAGAGAATGAGAGAGCAAATCAAGGTTAGGGTGTTATGCCTCCATGCCCTTATTTTATATTTATTATTATTATTCAATATTATTATTCAAAATAATGTATATAATTTAACAAAATAAGATAGCTGAAAATAATTAGCCTCCGTCCTCTGTGATTTCATTGCCATAATCCCACATTTCAAATCAATCATATAACTATAATCTGCCATATGGTATGGTCCAAAAACACATGCATCCATCGACACATCTTTTTAATATAATAAATGTGAAAGTTTGTAACGATGGATAAACGAATGGATAGTGTTTGTTACTTTCTCACGTATAAACTACTGAACAGATTTGAATGAAATATCGTACACAGATAGGTTATATCCTAACATAGCATATAAGATACTTTATGTAAGCGGGTGAAGCCGCGGGATATAAATAGTGCTAAATAAACAATTTAATTTTGTTTACAGCTGAATCCGGACGTCAATGCATTCCAGCGTAAATTTGTCAATGAAGTGCGTCGCTGTGACGAAATGGAGCGCAAACTGCGCTACATTGAAGCGGAGGTACACAAAGATGGGGTCCACGTGCCCTCAGTCAAGGAGCCGCCACGGGCCCCCAATCCCAGGGAAATTATTGACCTCGAGGTATGTAATATATTTATAGATAGATGTCTTATAATATTATAATTAACACATAATCACTACAGATGTAAATTTGATAAAAAAGAATCAGTAAAATCGGTTTACAACTGCTTAGGATATCTGTATGTGAAGTATCATATAAACACACAAAAATTAATGTCGAATGGAAGCCGTATAAAAATAATACATTAGATGAGACATTATTACATTTTCTAAATAAAACAAACTGAAATTTCACATTAGACAAAGTTAGTGTGAGACCAACATAAGAGAGGAATCATCAAAATCGGTCCACGATAGAGGAATATATCACGTAGTATATTTTATTATATACACAAATTCCAATTAAAAAGTTATCTCAAAACTCAAAGAAAACTGTATAAAAAGTAATATAAACCATATTAGCATCAATACTGACACTTGGGGGAAAGGGATTGTTAGTAATGGAGACTGAGAATCCCATTGCTAGCAATATATCCAACCAGGTCGACTTCCTCGCGGTTCTCCCTGGAAACTATCATGGTTATTTCCTGATGAGTTCATCATGATGGGCTAACTAGCCTGTTTTCATTCTCATCTATCACCCTTCACTGGTGCTCCGCCAGCGTATCCCGTTAGCGCAGGCGGGGTTACCGTTCCATTTTCACCCATCAAAAAAAAAACTGACACTTTCAGGCTATCTCTGGAATAATTTCATTTACTTTGGTCGAAGATCGATAACTGAGTAAGAATATACATATATAAAAAGTTGTCGCGAATGACATGACTACATCGATACTGATACGTTACACAATATTTATAGTTTTTTTTTTTTTTTTTCTAAATATGATAGTTACCAATTTTGTATGTTTGCGTAATATGTACATATTAATATTGTTAAAATATAGTCATTCTATATTTTTTATGATATTATGGTGAATGTCAACCTAGTCAACAAAATTAATGCGGCATTTCCAAAAACATGTCTAAATATTGGCCTTATTCAAACTACATTAACTGAAATATCTTCATACCAAGTACTTTACGGGTTAAGCTGCGGTAATAACTAAAGTAACAAAAGAATCTATGATTATATTATGATTTTGCTTGAAATATATCTAACATATCAATCGTAACAAAATTTGTAATTATTAAAATCGCTTTAGAATTGATGAAGAAACTGCTTTTTGTACTAGCTTAAAAATCAATTTTTTACGACCAATTTTTTTTTTTTGCTAATTTAAGGTACTCATATTTATATTTCTGAGTGTAATACAAGTTATTTACTTTGCCACAGGCACACTTGGAAAAGACAGAAAACGAAATTCTCGAGTTATCGCACAACGCGGTGAATCTGAAACAAAACTATCTGGAGCTTACAGAACTGAAGCATGTCCTTGAGAAAACAGAAGCCTTCTTCGTTGCCCAAGAGGAATTCGGCATGGATTCTTTGACCAAGTGAGTAATGTTGTTTTCAATCAAATGTAATCAAATGTATGATTGGATTTGATATTGGTACAGAGTTTTGCTACGATTACTTATTTGAGAGTGACTAAACAACAAAACTATGAAGAAAAAATAAATAAGTTAGGTACATACAGCTATTTCATCAGTTACGTTGTGATCATAATATAACGCTGTTATATATATATATATATATATATATATATATATATATATATATATATATATATACACACACAATAATATATATATATATATAATATATATATATATAATGTTAATATAATTGATGGAGTTAAATTAACAAACATAAAAAACAAAGAATTGATCCATCCCATGTTTTTAAATATTAAAATAACCAGAAACCATTTTCAACCAGGTCTCTAATATCCGACGAGCAAGGCCAACAGGCCGCGTCCCGGGGCCGCCTGGGCTTCGTAGCCGGCGTGGTGCAAAGGGAACGTGTGCCCGCGTTCGAACGGATGCTGTGGCGTATCTCGCGTGGTAACGTGTTCTTGCGTCGCGCTGAACTTGACAAGCCTCTCGAAGATCCTACTACCGTAAGTAGTTCATCAATATCATAAAAAATATTGTGTGGCCCCAGCATAGAAACCTTTTTTTCAACCAGGAGATCTAATATCCGACGCATTCAAGGCCGAATTGTTGATGATCGGCGTCTTACTGTCCGGCTCGACCCACTGAAACTGCGTAGAGATGTTGCATCTCGTAGCCGAATTTATCATGTGGTGCTGAAGAATTGGGATTGATGCCCTGCAGATTTTCATCATCGTACAATGCCATAAACGTATCATCGCGCGGAATGTGTCCTCTTGCGTCGCGCCGAACTTTCTGACAACCCTCTTTGGAATCAACTTCCAGCAGCAGTATTTCAGAACCGATACGACAACCTAACCTTCAATAAAAGAGCATATTCCTTTTAAAAGGTGGCAACACACCTGCAATGCCGTAGGTGTTGTGGATGAATGGGGGTTAGTCACTCATTTCTTTCCTGTGTTGTAAAAAAAAAAAAATTAAAAGTCGAAGGATGGGTAATAATGGTCTACAGGCAGCAATAAGACACGACAGGCAATGAATGAATGCTATCTCACATCTCATGGTTTCAACTGCAACTTGATAGAAGAGAAGAAAAACTCTTCATAGCAAATTAATGTAGTAAGAGAAGGTTCTCTTGTAATGGGAAGAGACGTGCCCGTTGTAATAATGCGAATATAATGCATTTATTTATTTTTATTGCACGTAGAAATATAGTAGGTAAGAATAATAATTGGAAATAATGAGCAAAGGAGAACTTACCTATAAAAGATATTTCTACCAATCAACGGTGGCATAGAAAGTCTAGTAATATAATATAAGGATAATACATGAAATAATAACGGTTTCAGGGCAACGAAATCTACAAAACGGTGTTCGTGGCGTTCTTCCAAGGCGAACAGCTGAAGTCTCGCATCAAGAAGGTGTGCACCGGGTTCCATGCGTCGCTTTACCCGTGCCCGCCCTCCAACACCGAGCGTCAGGATATGGTCAAGGGCGTTCGCACCAGGCTGGAAGATCTTAACATGGTGTGTGAACTCATCCTAGAAATTATATGCATTAAATGTATCCAAGATCCCGTCCTTTTAAAAAAGTTATACTCACTTAAAACTGTCATATTTGACTGCGAATTACCACTGAGATAAAAAGGAAATGCTAACCCCATATACGCTATTGGTTTATGCTGGCATAGTACCATATATGATAGGTGTGATAAAGTCAGGTTAGTTAGCTCATCATGTGTTCACTAAGAGTGAACTAAGATGGTTTCAAAGAGAACTGCGGTATTTTCCTGTAAATACAAGGCTCAATCTAAATAAATCCATAAAACCGTATAATAAATACGGTTTTATGGATTTATTTAGATGTGCAGTATGGGACATGACAATGAAATGACAGGGACTTGAGCCATAACACGGTAACGCGTGGTGTTAACTTGTGATGTTCATGGTACTACTCATGTGTATTAACCACTAAGTCCAGCTTGTTTGCAATTCGAAGTTATATAAAAAAATACAATATACTATGCTAATCAATCTACTTCCAGGTTTTAAATCAAACACGTGACCATAGACAACGCGTGCTCATCAGCGTAGCCAAAGAGCTGCCGAGCTGGTCGATCATGGTTCGCAAAATGAAAGCTATCTATCACACGCTCAACTTGTTCAATATGGATGTCACTAAGAAATGCCTCATTGGAGAGTGCTGGGTGCCCACCGCTGATCTGCCCAACGTACAGAAGGCTTTAGTTGATGGTTCCGTATGTATTATTTTTCAATAAATTTAGCTTTACGAGTCATATTTGATTTCATGATGTTATTACATGATACATTTTTTTTTATTTTTCGTATTTTTATCGAAATATGTGATGTTTAATCGTAATATATATATATATATATATATATATATATATATATATATATATATATATATATATATATATATAAATTACAGCTAATGACTACTTAAAATGCATCAAAGTGTGCACATGGTACCACTTGTAATACCTATGTACATTCAATGGCTAATATTTGCATGCCATTTGATGTGGCGAATCCATTTTATTTTAAAATATCGCCAACAAACATCTCTGTTTCCTCCATTGTTGGCTGGTAAAGAGCACCTTTAAAAGCTATAAACGCCATACGCTTTTGTATATGAAAGTTAAATCAATAAATAATAATCACAATTTGTAATAATTGCAGAACGCCTGCGGCAGTTCGATACCGTCGTTCCTAAACTGCATCGAGACGGACGAAGAGCCGCCTACATTCAACCGCACCAACCGCTTCACTCGCGGCTTCCAGAACCTCATCGACGCGTACGGAGTCGCCTCGTACAGGGAATGCAACCCTGGTCAGTTCATATTGGTTTATCAACATCTAGTATGACAAAGATTAGATCAGACAGTTGTGAATGTAGATTGTAGATAATGCAGCTGGAATACCTCTGGTATTGCAGGCGTTCATAGGCTCCGGTAACCACTTACCATTAGGTGGGCCGTATGCCTGTTTGCCACCTCAGTGGTATAAAAAAAAACTTAATATTATCATAAAGAGATAATAATAATCTCTACTGGAAGTACTTTGTATTTGCTCAGATGATAAATGTACCCGCAGGATAAATTATCAACATAAATATTATCTGTGCTAATTAAAATATGGATCTATCTGAGTGTCAAATTTTATAGAAATCAATTATTCTAGTATTTTTTTTAATAAAAACTAAACTGAGAGAACTGACATTCTTCTCAGTTACAATTGCATTCCGAATTGGATAGTAAGTAGGATTACAAAAGGTTATTTTACAATAATTTAATGTTATGTTCCACAAAGAAAAAACCGACTTCAGTTGTGGCAAAACCAGTTAAGTATTTTAATTTAAAAACTTAACTACTGAATCGATTTTATTAATGTTTCTATGGGATTAATCTGAAAGTATATCCTTTCAAATAAAAACAAAATCCAAATCGGTTTGTAGCTGAGGGAGTTATGAGCTATATTATATACTAGCGGCCCGTCCCGGCGTCGCACGGGTGGACATTTTTACATTTTTATAAGTGGCCATTAACGCTGCACACGCGACGGAAGCTTAAAAATGGAGTAATTTCTCCCGTTTTCCCAACATTTCCCTTCACTCCTCCGCTCCTATTGATCGTAGCGTGATAAAAAGTATACTATAACCTGTCCAGGAGTATAAAGAATAATTGTACCAAGTTTCGTTAAAATCCGTCGAGTAGTTTTTGTTTCTATAACGAACATACCGACAGACAGACAAAAATTTTACTGATTGCATTTTTGGTTTCAGTATCGATCACTAATCACCTGATAGTTATTTTGGAAATATAATTCATGTACAGAATTGACCTCTCTACAGATTTATTATAAATATAGATAGATATAAAGGATAAAACACTGAATTGAGAAATTTCTCTTTTTATAAAGTCGGTTGAAATTGTCTGAAAATAAATTTATTTAAATAAAAATTATTTCTATTATTATTTCACCCAGTAGAAGTAGAAAACAAATAGTGTTATTTATTTTATTTCAGCTCTGTACACAATCATCACCTTCCCGTTCTTATTCGCTGTGATGTTCGGCGATCTCGGGCACGGCTTGATTATGGCATTGTTCGGCGCTTGGATGGTCATTAAGGAAGTTTCGCTTGCTGCTAAGAAGTCTAACAACGAAATCTGGAACATTTTCTTCGCTGGCCGCTACATCATTTTACTTATGGGCTGCTTCTCTATGTACACCGGGCTCGTGTATAATGATATATTCTCGAAATCCATGAACATTTTCGGATCATCATGGTACGTGCCATATGACAATAAAACGCTGGAAAGTAGCCCTGCCTTCACACTGGACCCGAATGATTCATACATTGATGTGCCCTACTTTATCGGCATAGATCCCATTTGGCAGGTAAGATCATATTTTTACCTATAAAATTTGAAAGCGTTATCTTGATTGTTCCTAGTAAGTAGTAAACTAAATGATGATCACTCAATCAGGCAAGTGCTTCACTGCGATTCCAAGATAAATTCTTGGTCTCTGCATTTTTTAAATTAATAACTACTTGAGAGTGTGTCGTCTGGTGTTTTATCATTAAATCAGCTGTTAATGGTTCTTTGCTGAACATAGGCCAGCCCCCATAAGGGAGGGTTTTGCGAGTAGTTATCACGCTTGTCAGGCGGGTTGGTAACTGCAGTTAGTTTTTTGGTTTTGTTTTAATAGGAACACTGTTGCTCATCCCTCGACTGTTAAGTTCCTTTGGTATATAATATGTTACATTTAGTGACAAAAAGTATCTCTGTTGAGTTTAACATATACGTGTTTGCATGGCTGTGTTTCGGTTTGAAGGGTGGGATATGGCGTGAATTTACTGGGTACAGAGGAATAACACCTGAGTCCTCAGGAATGGCAACGCATGAGGGGTATCATGGGCGAAACAGTATACTCAGTTATATCCATGGTACTGCTCATGTCTATAGGCGACGGTTACCACTTTCCATCAGGTGGGCCGTCAGCTTGTTTGCCATTCTAAGTTGTAGAAAAAAAAAGCTAATCTCAAAATTGTGTTTATTTAAATTTCCATCCAACTAACAAGTTTATGGAACATAGTAAAGTGGCGGTAGTCTCGACTTCTGCCACGTCGCATCGATGCTCTGAGTATTACTTTCATTCCATCTATGACCCAGAAATAAGTGGCAAGCAAACCGTCAATTGATACCTTTTCGCTTTATGAAAGAAATAGAACAAAAAAGCGGTGTAAAAGTATATATATAATAAAATGTGAATATTTTTATTTCAGACTGCCGATAACAAAATTATATTCTTGAACTCCTACAAAATGAAACTGTCCATTATCTTCGGTGTGGTGCACATGATCTTTGGTGTCTGCATGAGTGTCGTCAACTACAAGTTAGTATTTTATTCTAAACAAAATCATCATTGTATATATATATATATATATATATATATATATATATATATATATATATATATATATATATATATATATATGTGTAAGTATATTTGTTATTCATATATCTTTATTCGTTTATATATATAATTTTAGTATGTATGTATATCAATAATTAGTGGTACCGCATTCGAGTATTCTGACACTTCCCTATGGTTGACTGGGAGAGAATGCTTTTAGCATTAAGTCCGCCATGTACACATATTTGTACTAATGAATAAATAATAATAATAATAATGTCTACTGCTGAATATAGGTCTCGCTCATAAGGGGGGTTTTGCTAATAGTTGCCACGCTAGGCAGGCGGGTTGGCTACGGTTGCCAACCCGCTAGGCTTTGGAGATGATTTAAGAGGGACGCTGCTGTCCATACCTCGAGCATTAACTACCCTTAATGTCTCTTACGATACCCACGGGAAAGAAAGTAATGCTCTATTCTATACCGGAACAACGCTATACAAAATACTGTACATAAACTAACGTAGCTAAAAGTCGTAAAAAAAGAAGTAAAAATGTATATATATATATATATATATATATATATATATATATATATATATATATAATGAAAATATTCAAACAACTTAATAATAAAAAAACAGAGGATCTATGGGGTATATCTGTTAAAATACTGGATAGTATAATGGAAATTATTGCGCCCTCTCTTGCTTTTATTTTCAATAAATGTATAGATGAAGGTAAATTTCCTAACATAATGAAAATTAGTAAAATCATACCGCTTTTTAAATCTGGAGATAGGATGACCCAATATATATATATATATATATACTCCCAGCACTCAGTAAAATTTTTGAAAAATAATCCTTATGCAACTTGTCAGTTATTTCAATTTAAATAATTTAATCCACAATAGTCAATTCGGTTTTTCCAAAGGTCGTTCAACTACAGACGCAGGTGCAGAGTTGCTTAGACACGTATTTGCTGCATGGGAAACTAAAATGGATGTGATAGGTGTTTTTTGTGACCTTTCTAAGGCTTTTGATTGCGTTGATCATAATACATTGCTAAAAAAACTTGCTTTTTATGGCGTCAAAGACAATGCTTTAAATTTAATAAAATCTTATCTATCTGATAGAATACAGAAAGTGAAGATTAACAACGCTACGTCTGACGGGTCACTTGTGCAAATGGGTGTACCTCAAGGATCTATTCTCGGTCCATTTTTATTCCTAGTTTACATTAATGATCTCCCATATGCCATGCAGGATAGATGCGGCATAGTATTGTTTGCAGACGATACTTCATTGATTTTTAAAGTTAATAGAATGACTAATAATTATGACGATGTAAATAGTGCTTTGCGGCGTCTCCTGCACTGGTTTACAACTAACAATCTTATGTTAAACGCTAAAAAAACAAAATGTGTTAATTTCTCTCTATCTAAAAGTTTTAATACTAATTGCAATATTAAATTAAATGACGAATCTCTCGAATTTATAGAATCTACTGTCTTTCTAGGAATCACACTAGATAATAAAACACAATGGGGTGCACAAATTCAAAGCCTTGCAGCGAAACTAAGTTCAGCAGCTTTTGCCGTGCGTAAAGTTAGACAGTACACTGATACTGATACTGCTAGATTAGTCTATTTTAGTTATTTTCATAGTTTACTCTCTTATGGAATATTACTATGGGGAAAAGCGGCAGATATTAAGAATATATTCATATTACAAAAACGTGCCGTTCGAGCGATCTACTGTATGAAGAGTCGTGACTCATTAAGAGAGAAATTCAAAGAGGCAAATATTCTCACCGTTGCTTCTCAATTTATATATTCAAATATTCTATATGTTCATAAAAATCTTGACTTATTTCCAAAAAACAGCAATATTCATAATATTAATACTAGATTTAAAGACAAACTTGCTGTCCCAAGTATCGTTTAGAAAAAGTTAATAGGTCTTTTATGGGAATAGGTATAAAAATTTACAATAAGATACCAAAGGATATGTTGGAATTACCCTTAAATAAATTCAAAACATCTGTTAAATCATATTTACTGAGCAAAGCCTATTACTCACTAAACGATTACTTGAATGACGAGTGTGCATGGCAATAGTTGTTCATGCACTGAATTTTCATTTAATGTTAGACATAGACACCTATATAAATATACATTGTAAATAAACTGGCTTTAAAAAAAAAAGTAATTCAATTGAGTTTCTTGCCAGTTCTTCTCAATTGGATCTATATACCGAACTGGACGGTAGGGTAAATATAAAATTATAATGTAAAAATTTGACGTTCATAAGCGGCTAAAATGTCCTACATGAATAAATGATTTTTGAATTTTGAATTTTGAATTTTTTATATTATATATATATATATATATATATATATATATATATATATATATATATATATATTTACGTATTTATTCACAATAGTGTTTGATGTATTTACATTATTTTCACTGGTACCTTTTCTGCACTGGATTACCCAAATTAATTCATTTTCTCTCTAACTACACTGGGTTGGCTGGAAGAGATCTCTTTCAGAGATAAGTCCTCCCTTGCTAACATGTTGTTAAACTAATCTTATTTCTATAATGTGAAATGATTCATGTAACAATTAAATGCATAGGTAACTACTACTATTACAGTTTAGACAATTAAAATTGTAAAATTTTTAAACAAATAATTAAATTACTTTTTATAAAATGGAAATCTATCTTATCAATATGATTCATGTAACTTCTATATTATTTGGGCACGCATATATTAGTAATATATATATATATATAATATATATATATATATATATAACTTGAAAATCACCGGATCAATTCAACTAATCCCATTTCATTGAAGTCCGATGAAGAGAAAAATTAGAAAAGTTACCGGGATAAACGTTAAAATACCATTTTATTTTTCACATATAGCTTTTGACAAAATAACGTATATCCTATAGCTAGCTAATAAAAATGTTGTTGGCAGCTTCTTCAAGCGTCGCTACTCCATCATCCTGGAGTTCCTCCCACAAGTGGTGTTCCTGTGTCTGCTCTTCTTATACATGGTGTTTATGATGTTTTACAAGTGGGTCGCCTACAGCACTTTTTCCACAGGTATGTTAAATGTACACCAATAGCTTGGACCTCAAACTAGGATTCCCTTCATTATTGGTAATCAATCAACGAGCATAACAAGGACCACAACCCGGGACATACAGACCCGAGTCAGTAAGAAAAGTTTGATTCTTAAATTGGTCGGACCCTGAATCGAACCTGTTTAAAAAAGAAAAACTAAAAACAATTAAAAAAGGTTGTATAATTTGATTTGACCCAGATTGAACCCGTTTAAAAAAAGTGATCAAAGAGGGAGAGTTTATACAAAAGTCGATTGCTTGGGTACCTCTGTCCCATTCGTGTTTCTACCGTGAAGCAGTTGTGTTTGCATAGCTGTGTTTCGGTTGGAAGGGTGGGATATGGCGTGAACTTACAGGGTACAGAGGAATAACATCTGAGTCCTCAGGAATGGCAACGCATGGGAGGTATCATAGGCGAAACAGTATACTCTGTTATGTCCATGGTACTACTCATATATATAGGCGACGGTTACCACTTTTCATCAGGTGGGCCGTCAGCTTGTTTGCCATTATAAGTTGTATAATAAAAAAAAAAAGATATAAATAAAAAAGTAATGAGAATGAAAAAAAGGTCGTATAATTGAGTAATTAATATTTTCAGACCTGGCATACCAACAAGGCTGCGCACCGTCTGTCCTGATCCTGTTCATCAACATGATGTTGTTCTCGAGCAACGAGCCCGAAGCTGGCTGCAAGGAGTTCATGTTCGAGGGCCAGGGCCAGATACAACGCGTGTTCGTGCTAGTCGCGCTTTGTTGCATACCCGTGATGCTATTAGGCAAGCCTCTGTACCTGCTCTCCGCTAGCAAGAAAAAGAAGAAGGATGTCAAGGTAGTAATATAACTCGGGAACATTATTCAATAATATATTCATATATTTTATAATTCAATAGTCAGGAAAGCAAGGCCAGGTCTGGTTTTCGGCAAAACAGCATTGTATCTTCCAGAAGGTTAGGTTTCCGTGGGAACCCACGCACACTATCGCACTATAAACTTCTTCATCTTGTACTCACAATTGTAACTATAATTTATGAATTTCAAGTCTAATTTTAATACATTAATATAAATAATAATAATAATATATCTAAAAAATATTGTCTGCTGTATGTAAAAGTATAAAAAAATATGTATCAATAAATAAATATACATACATACATATCTGTCACGTCTGTCTCCCATTAGGGTAGGCAGAAACAAGTTTAAATTTTTTTGGGATCTAGAATTATTTATTTTGCATTTTAGTGATTCTATTTAAAAAGTATCTTTTTACTACAACTTACATTGTAATTACAGCCAGAACAATCAAATGGCTCCGTAAATCAAGGCATTGAGATGCAAGAGCAGACAGATATCGGTGATGGGGAGCCTAAACCTGAGGCGAAACCAAGCGGCAGCGGTGGTGGTCATGGTCACGACGAGGAACCCTTCAGCGAAGTCATGATCCACCAGGCGATTCACACTATCGAGTACGTGCTCAGCACCATCTCGCATACAGCCTCATATCTTCGATTATGGGCGCTCTCGCTTGCTCACGCAGGTAACTACTTATATTCCTCTTTTGATGGCTTTAACGGGTTGCTCCGGCTCGAAGGACCATAATATAATGTAGGTACGCAAACAAGAAATATGTAATGCTAAATTTTATTTATCTATTAAAAAAAGTGTTTTGCAAAAACGCATACTTGTAACTCCTAGTGTTGTCTATAATTTGTATTTATTTGCTACATTAAATGTATTTTGAAATTCCTATAGGTTTTGCATCTATTTTTAAAAATTATTTCTTATTATTGTAGTACTTATCGTATATTTAACTGGCTCTTTACAGAATTGTCTGAGGTGCTGTGGAACATGGTGCTGACATTCGGTCTGAAGGACAGCAACTATATCGGCGCTATTAAGTTATACGTCGCCTTCTGCTTCTGGGCGCTGTTCACGCTTGCCATCCTCGTCATGATGGAGGGGCTCTCTGCTTTCTTGCATACACTACGTTTGCACTGGTAAGATTCACATTGTTGTAGTTTATTTATTTATATACACATTGACATAATATATACCCCATAAATGAATTTATTCGTACACTAATTTCTTTTGTATTTGAATTTTTTTCATTGTGAATTTTCATCGCTTTTCGCATATTAAAATATAGACTTCCGCGCGTTTTTCAACCTCACTTTAAAAAGAAGGAAATTCTGAATTTGGTTGTATTTTTATTTTTACTTTAATTGCGTCAGTTATAAACCGATTTGGAAAATTATTTTTTATCTGAAGGATATATTTATAAATTGGTCCTATAGAAATTTTTATCAAAATCGGTTATTAGTTTAGACAATTTAATCACATGAATACCACATCCATGATTTAAACAAGCTAATTACTTTCACAAATCCAAGTACACTGGAATAACTGTTTTTTTTAGATTTAATTAACTGATTATGATAATTATCATTATAATTATTTTCAAGAACGGCATAATTCTTATCACTAAATATATGTTTTTAATACAAAATAGTTTTTAAATCAAAGTACTTGGTTTTACTGCAAATGAAGTGCTCTTTTTTTGTGAAATGTAACTTATTTTGGACAGTCAATTTCAATTAAATTAACCAATATTGAAATAATCAATGTGTGTTTTCAAACGATTGGGGCTCATCTCTTTTATCGTTTTATTATTTTAAATGTTACTTTTCCAGGGTGGAGTTCATGAGCAAATTCTACCAAGGTCTGGGATACATCTTCCAGCCATTCTGTTTCAAGACTATCCTCGAACAAGAGGAGAAAGAAGAATAAACATTGTCATCGTTTTAAAAGTAGTTGTAGTTTTAACACAATGCGCTAAATACGAACGCGATATAGAAACGTCACAAACCGATTTAAAAAGAAACAATAATCCATGTTAAACATGATCCCTTTAATGTGCGAAAAAAGAATTACTGTGTAATTAACATTATTGCCTTCCATTTGAGTTAGTACATTATTATATTTACACCCATGTGTTTTATTTACAACCCCCTAAGGCACCCATTAGACGATATATAGTATTATTTATTTTACTATTATACCACAATACACAATTACAGATACCAATGCACAAATATATAAATACATATAAATGTATTGTTCCAAATAACAAAATTCAAAGCAATAACGTTGAAATAAGGATTCCATTTTAAATGTTAATAACATAGTAATACAGTTTAACATTGAGTGTAAGCAATTACATTAGACACTAGCAAAATGCAACACTTGTATCGTGTAATGGGCGCTTAATATAAGTATAATAGGAAAAGCTATGTTCGCAAATTGTTTTTGGCCTTCTCTAGTATTTCCTTCCTGATTTTTGGATAATCTGGATGCACTTTGAGGATATAGCGACAGACGACGATACATTCGGGATACTTTTTCAGTTTCAAGTAAGCGTGGGCCAGTTTGTACCCAAGAGCGAGGTCGGTGCGACCTGAGTACGTCCAAGCATTGTCATAGTTGTGCGCGGCGCTTTTGTAGTTTTGCTCTTTTTCTGCTAAATACCCTATAAAACAACAAAAATATCAATGAATAATATTAATGTAATATTCCTTTACACTGGTATTTTTGATCTATATGATCATTTCGAAATTTAATAATAAAGTACGCCAATGCTACCTTTATACGTATTTGTCAATATTTACTGTTCTGAGTGGGCGAACATAAAAATGCCATCATACTATTAGTTACCGCTAATCAAACGTTAGTTTAAATTTCCAAACAATAATAAATAAGGGATAAAAAAAATAATCAACTTTAATGTAGGTATTTTTCAAAATCTTGGCATTATTTCACTATTTAATGCTGGACTAGTACATTTATTTTAAATTTTATCTACCTTGAACATAATAAATTAACAGATCTGTAACTTTTACATGATGCTATATAGTTTAAAACCAAACAGATTTTGTATAATGAATACTAAAACAGACAAAATGTACCTCATGAGATGGTAAATACCATATCCGTGTTGGCAACAAATTGATTTATAACCAAACAATCGTCTGAGCGTAACTGAGTGAGAATCATCTAAAATTTCCACATTTATAATATTAGTAACAAGGTAACTCTCACCTAAATATTGGTATGCTGCAGCACAAGAATTGTTATGATTCAATATTTTCGTTAGTAACTCTTTGGCTGCGTCCATTCTCCCTGAACTGATTTGATTATCGGCTACTTCTAGCCAGCATCTAGAAAGAAAAAACAAATTACGAATAAATAATTAGAAATTTTTAATGTATACACATATAACTGCCGTTAAGCATCAGTGTTTACGTTACTTACATTGTACACATTCTTTTCTTAAGTATTCTGTATCCTATAATTTAAGACTTTACAATTAGGTGTTACCAATAAACAAACTATTATGGTTTGAAAAGAAAAGGAAATTTCATAAGGCTTTATAACAAAAGCAATCTTTGCTTAACAGGAGATACCAAACCCTGTAATGTAACTAACTACCTTTATGTTTTCTGTGATGTTCATGTCCATAGAAATTGGTTCTCACTTTACCAGTCAACTCGGTTATCATCGAGGGGCCGTTAGCTAGTTCGTAAAGACGAGATTTTCATGTATTTTTAAATTTGTATTTATATACATGTATGAAACAACATTAAGTATGTGTAGTAACTACCTTTCTAAGCCATCCGCTTTTTCTGGGGTCCAAGGAATAGACGATATAGTTCTCTTCAATATGTTTTTCGCTCGTGTAGGCTGTTTTATTATGTTATACCTGTAATAATAAATAATATTAGTATTATTTGATTAATTTTTAAGGGGATTAGGGGTTTGTTAATAATGTAGACCCATCGCTAACAATATATCCTGTCAGGTAGATCTCTACGCAGTCTCAAGTAGAATTTTTATAGTTAATTTAATTTCATCATCATCATCATATCAGCCGTACACTGTCCACAGCTAAACATAGGCCTCTTCAGTAAGGTTTTGCCAGTAGTTGCCACGCTTGACAAGTGGGTTTGCAACCTCAGACTTTTGGTGATGTTTTAAAAGGGGCGTTGCTGTTTGCATTTTCATCCTTCGACCATTAAGTTCTCTTAGTCGCCTCTTACGACATCCATGGGAAATCAAGAGGTGGCTCATTCTACGCCGGGACCACACTGGGTTAATTAACCTTTTTTTTTTTAACGTCTGGAAAATGATTTATGCAGACCCATACACCTTGTGGGTGGTGAATGGGTACTGTGGGAATCCCCCCGTTTGGTGTACCCACCAAAAACCAGACGATATACCCTCGAGGTACCATATGTCGGAGACATGGGTTCGCTTTCGCACTCACCACATTGGGTTAACTAACCTAACTTCATTTTCACCTATCACTTGTTAGTGATGTCCCGTCAGCACGTATCGATAGCACAGGCAGAGTTATTTCCATTCTCATGTATTGAAGAGTCCTACTTACGCGATGGCTATAGCGAGTATCAGGTAGGGGTCGTCTTGCCGCTCATCGTTGACGAGCGGCAGCAGTTCCTGCAGCACTCGCTCCGCCTGCGACTTCTGTTTGGTGGCGAGCTGCAGCAGAGCTTGCAGCGGCTTGCGCTCCCATGGCTCCACTTCGACCAGTAACTTCTCTGCCGTCCGTAGGGCGAGCGTTTTTGTGTCACTAGAAATTATGCATAAAAACGTCTCATAAAGCAATTATAATTTCTTCGAATTCTTGTAAGAAACAATTTACAGTGGTACCCTGCACTTTGGTTTATTTTTTGTTAAGAGAGGACTGAGCAGGAATGGAAAACCAGCGCTGTGCAGCTATGTTCACTATGCGCTGGGACACTCACAGCATCAGCTGAGTCGGTTCCTTTTGCCTGGTATGGAACACTTTTTGTATATGTTATCTATATTTTATATTGTAATTGTATGTTTAGTGGCAATAAATGTTTCTATTCTATTCTATAATTATATTAACCCATTTTTACATTTTATAAACATGACCGTATCATTTGTACGGTACACCGCTCTACCCGTAGACATTGATACTCCTTTCACGTTTGCTGAAAGAAAACTCTTTAGAGTTAAGCTCGCCTTTGTACATTTGCTTTAACTCTGTCATATGTTTTATGTGTAATCAGAGTGTACAATAAAGTATTAATACATAAATATTTAAAAATAAGCCTTTCCCCGCGCGGTTGCGCGCTTCTATGTAGTTTCTATATATCATTCCTATTGGAAACCTTCATGAATACCGTCTTATACTGTATTATATACTTAAATGATAATTACAAACCTAATACCTTCATAAAGTTTCAGCCAATTCAACGGATCGGTTATTTTATAGCATTTTATAAGTGATTCTTTAGATTGATATAACTTTTTTATTTATGACCCGATTGAAATAAAACAAACACTAAATGTTAAGTGGAGCAAATCCGCAACACATTAGTGAAAACCGCATTCGAATCGGTTAAGCCGTTTCTGAGATTAGCGTGCACAAACAGACAAAAATTCTAAAAATCATTGTTTTACGTTCTGTTACGTTCATAAAGCCCCAGTATAATAATTGTTCCTATACATCTTTCATGTACAGACAGTTACGATTATATTATTTATGTATTAATGATCGATTTCTAGCGTAATTACCGATCAATTGTGTCATTAGGCAAATGTGAAAACGATTCATGGCTTAACATAGATGTAAATTTGATTATGTATTGACTGTATTTCAGCTGTACGTTTTCCAACAAATAAATAAATAAATAAATGAGTGGTGGTGGCGGGCGGTACTGACGCGTCGTCGCCGGGCAGCGCGGCGTCGTGCGCGCGGGGCGCGTGCTGCGCCAGGCACAGCAGCACCATGCGCGCGGCGGCGGCGCGGCCGCGGCGCGGCGCCCGCCTCGCCTGGTTCAGCTGCCGGAGCGCCGCGTTCGCGCGACCCGCGTACATCGAGCACAGCCCCGCGCAGTAGTAGTACCCTGGCCGCATAGGGGGAACACATTGTTAGTAATGGGGATCTAACAGTTCCATTGCAGGGGGGAAGGGATTGTTAGCAATAGGGTCCGATTTCCCCATAACTAGCAATACATCCTATCGGGTCGACCTTCACGCGGTTCTCCCTGGAGTTAATTCCTGATGAATTCATCATGATGGACTAACTGGCCTGTTTTCATTCTCATCTGTCACCCTTCACTGGTGCTCCGCCAGCGTATCCCGTTAGCGCAGGCGGGGTTACCGTACCATTTTCACCCAACAAAAAAATAAAGCTCTATTGCGAGGGGAAGGGATTGTTAGTAATGCGGATTATCAGTTCCATTGCTAGCAATATGCCCTATAAAGTCGACCTCCACGTAGTCCCCCCTGGAAACCATCGTGCTTGAATTCCTGGTGTATTCGTCACAATGGGCTAACTGACCTGCTTTTATCGTCACCTATCATTTATCACTGGTTCTCCACCAACGTATACCGATAGCGCAGGCGGGATACCATTCCATTAACAACCATTAAAAAAAACAGTTCCACTGTTAACAGTATACCCTATCAGATCGACCTCATCGCGGTTTCTCCTGGAAACCATATTGTTTAATTCTTATAAAATTCGTTCCTCCTTCTCATCATCTATTCTCCATCCTCATTACTATCACCCCTCATTAGTACCTCGTTAGTGTATACCGAAAGCACAGGCAAGGTTACCATTTCATTATCACACATTAAAAAATCCCTAGCCGCATACAATATATGTATATACATATACGTTATAGTTAGTCCCTACAAGTTGAATAATGCAGAGGCCCAAGCATTGCAAGTTCCTAGGTCCCTCTCCCTTTTGAGTACATAGAATCAAACATCCAACACATAGCTGAAAAATGAAGACATTATATTAAAACTATTATGAAAACGAAGAAAAAAAAAAAAAAACAAACAGATGTGAGGAAAGAACAAAAAATATTTTTTTTTTTACAACACGGGGCAAACGAGCATGCGGATCACCTGATGGTAAGTGACTACCGCCGCCCATGGTCACCCACAACACCTACGGCATTGCAGGTGTGCTACTGGCCTTTTAAAAAGGAATATGCTCTTTTCTTGAAGGTAATGTTTTAGAAAAATCCAAAAATTCAGATAATAGCAAAATTATTATGAACTATTACAAAAATTCTATCAATTATCAGTATCAGTGTAAAATTAGCTAAAATATAACGTAATATACACAAAATGAATTCCGTCAAATTCAGAATTTTATTAATTATAAACTATTTACATATATATTGTATATAATCTATTTATTTTAATATTAAATTTAGTACACAATGTAATTTTTATATTATACCTGGATCATCATCCCTGTCCATAGCTTGGCACGCAAGCTCGAGCGCCTGCTCTGCTTCGGCGAGTTTACCGCGGCGCCACTGAACTTCTATGAGCTGCGCGAGCGCCTCCCAACTTGTCGGCTTCACAGATAGTATCTGATTCAGGTGCCGTTGTGCGCTTTCTAAGTCCACCTAAAAAATAATCTTGTATATATTTCACCGAATCCGTTGTTACTTTGCATAAATCCATATCCATTAGCTACTTATCCATAAGCTACTTAGTTGATTAAAATTATTTTGTATGCAACTGCTAAAATTACCTTACGAAATGCGAGGTCGGCCATCATAACGGCTGCTGATTCGTTATTAGGATCTGAATTCAACAATACCGCACAAGTCTGCTCACATTTTTCGGGATTGTTCATCTGTAAAACATTAACCCTTTCATTTATATGTCAAATATTTTAACTATTGAACTGTTTTGTCCCTTTCTTTTGTTAGTAGCGTATTAACGCTACTAATTATAACAGATTATTATAACTACTAATTATAACGCTGGTAATTATACCAGAGGGAGACTTTGTACAAAAGTCGATTGCTTGGGTACCTCTGTCCCATTCGTGTTTCAACCGTGAAGCAGTTGTGTTTGCATGGCTGCGTTTCGGTTTGAAGGGTGGGATATGGCGTGAATTTACTGGGTACAGAGGAATAACACCTGAGTCCTCAGGAATGGCAACGCATGGGGGTATCATGGGCGAAACAGTATACTCTGTTATGTCCATGGTACTGCTCATGTCTATAGGCGACGGTTACCACTTTCAATCAGGTGGGCCGTCAGCTTGTTTGCCGTTCAAAGTTATATAAAAAAAACAGGTTTGTTGTTTAATATATGTTTTAAATATTTAGTCCATCAAGAGAACTATGATTTATGTTGACTATTTAAGTTGTCGTCCATATTTTAAAACTCAATAGTTTGAAACTATTTTTAATTCAACGGCACATATTAAGGCATAGTAATTCTAAAAAAGCGGTAAATTTCAAACAGAACTATTGCAGAGAGATATTAGAAATTGACACAAAATCATGATATACACAAAAACAAAATCAAAAAATAAAATATTAATAAATATTTGATAAAGTGATTCTTTTTATATGGCTAAAAAAATCTTTCAATTTTCTTTGTCTAATAATAATAATAAGTATGAAATATTTATTTATAGCATAAAGAACAATGCAAAACTTTGAACATCGTTGGATTGACTAAACGTAACTAAGAGAATTCGATGTAAACAAAATAATAAACCTTGTGTTTATTATTAATATCAACTGGACGCGTTAATTAAAATAATTAGCTGATTCTAAGAAGTAGGACGTGACCCTACATACATTATAGGTATGGTACGTAACCCTATTATATAAGCCTTTAACCGCCCACTGCTGAACATAAGCTTCCCCCTTGGGGGTTTTACCGGTAGTTACTCGTCCCTTGCCCTCCCTTAGGCGTCTCTTACGACACCCACGGGAAAAGGGGGTAGCCTATTCTATACCGGGACCACACGGCGAACTTCTGTGTCAGTCCCATACAAATTTTGTCAAATTAGAAGTAGTATTTTATATACACCTAACAAAATTATACATAATATTAATTAAGATGAGATAAAAATTAGGGATGGGCAGCAGCATCCCTCTTTAAACATCACCAAAGGTTAACAACAGTTGCTGACTTGCGAGCAAAATGCGACTTTGCCAATGCAAATCTTCCCTTATGGGAAAGCCTTATGTTTATCAATGGACAATTAACGGGTGATATGATGACGATAATGATTGATTAAAATGTATTATCCTTTTTAAAATTTTAATTAAATACTCAACTAAATTGCTTTCTATATTTTACATTACATACCTGTGCGTATAATTTGGCTAACGATAATAAAGTGTCTGGATCGCTCGGCGTATAAATCAATGCTTCGGTATACAAACTAGCCGCTGTGCCTGGCTCTTTGGTAGACTTCACTTTAGCGAGGGAACCCAAGATTCTTGACAGAAGTTGCTTTTCCTCCTGCAAGTCCACCCTCGCTTCTATTTCGGCACGCTTCACCACAGCTGACTGCAAGTCTCTTGCTTCAGCGAGAACTAAACTTGTGTTGTTTGCAGTTGGATTCTTGAGTTCTCGACTCCTGGCTTGTAGAGTGAGGTAGCGGACGCGGCGTTTCAAAGTATTTATATCTTTCTCTTTATTGTAAAGTTGGTTTATTTCCGATGATATTATTGTTTCCACTTTGTCGTATTGTTTTAGCTACCAACAAATAATCAGTACTTTGTAAGATACGAACTATTACATAATATGGAAAAATAATTATTGGAAATGCGGATAAAATTATAAAGATATTTTCAAATAACTGTCCCGATAGACATACTGTCCAAATTTTTTCCATTTCCTAAAAAGTTCAATTGCATTATTCCCAATATTTAAGAAATAAAATCATTCCTTTTGTAATAATTTCCGAAGATGCATGTACTTTAGAGAAGTGTAAGTAAGATAGACCACCAGAGGGAGATTTTGTACAAAAGTCATTTGCTTGGGTACCTCTGTCCCATTCATGTTTCTATCGTAAAGCAGTTGTGTTTGTATAGCTATGTTTCGGTTTGTGGTTTTGTCGGTGGGATATGGCACTGAATTAACAGGATACAGAGGAATAACACCCCAGTCCTCGGGAATGGCAATGCATGGGGGGGGGGGGGGAGGTATCATGGGCGAAACAGTGTACTCTGTTATGTTCATGGTACTGTTCATGTCTATAGGCGACAGTTACCACTTTCCATCAGGTGGGCCGTCAGCTTGTTTTGCATAAAAATAAGTTTTGAATAATGTACGAGGTCTGTCCGGAAAGTTCGTATAAAAGTGTTCTGGAATGCGAGAAAGAGGAGTGGGGAGGCCAGGTAAGCGCAGGACCCCTTCCTTATGTCCCTAACAATGCTTCAGTTCTGGTCTGACCGCCGTGCGGTGCGAACTGGCTTGTCACGCCATCTGTGAAGTTACCTCTTAACGAAACCCCGTCGGCATGGAGCCCGCTTCCGTTGAAGAGCAGCGCGTCGTAATCAAGTTTCTCTCGAAACTCGGCAAGAATGGCCGTGAAATTTTTGCCGATCTAATTCGATAAGACATCCGGGGAACCACGAACAAAAAAATCAAGAAAATCCCGCTCAAATGTCAAGACAATGTTGATTGTTTTTTTCGATGTTCGGGGGATTGTCCATCAAGAATTCGTCCCTCCAGGCCAGACAGTTGATGGAAAATTCTACGTCGATGTGCTCAGACGCCTCAAAGCTCGTGTGGCACGAGTTCGTCCAGAATTGGCGCGAGAGGGGCGTTGGATTCTTCACCACGACAATGCCCCTGCCCACACCTCTCTTGTTGTCCGTGAGTTTTTGAGTAAAAATTCCATTACGGTGACCGAACACCCCCCCTATTCGCCGGATTTGGCCCCGTGTGACTTCTTCTTGTTCCCAAAAACCAAATTGGTACTTCGGGGGCGGCATTTGGGGGACATAAATGAGATAAAAAAAGCTACGACGGGGCAGCTGAGAAACCTACAACCAGAGGACTTTCAAGGAGCCTTCTCACAGTGGAAACGGCGTTGGCACAAGTGCATTTGTGTACTTTGAAGGGGATAAAATTGATTTACCTGAATAATTGTAAAATAAAATTTTTAAAAAACTTTTATACGTACTTTCCGGACAAACCTCGTATTATTGTAAATGTTGTCAATAAAGACGAAATATATAAACAAAGGCGAAAATTTTTTAATTTAATTAATACTATCACTGGATTTTAAATTATTAAATAATATAATACATTTAAAGTATTCAAATATATTCTGGATAATGATAACACTATCGTAATTTTAAACTTTGGACCTCAATTTAACTTGCATTTAACATTACGCAAATAACTCAATTCAAATGTAGGTATTACTGCAAATTTTAAATACAAATACCTTGACAAGTAGTTCCAGATATTCAAACATAAGTTCGTCATCGTTCAACGATTTAATCGCGTTCTCATAGTGCTGCGACGCCTTATCATATTCGTGCATCTTTACCAGCGCCGTACCGAGTTTACGTATTAGTGGAATATTCCTTGGGTTCCCCTTTAACGCTGCCTCATACGATTCGGCAGCTTGACATGGATCTGTTAAGTTGATCTTTTAAGAATTAAGCTCTTTAAAGAAAAGTAAGAAATATTGAATATACTATTGAAACCAAAATATTATTATCCTTTTATGGAATTGTTATATTAGTGAAATTGAGCACTTTTCCAAAAGAAAGATTGGCTGAAAAACGCTAAATAATTTTGATCCTTTCATACTATATACAATACGTGGCGCGTCCAAATATAAATTTTGGGGTTCAAATGTTCAATTTAACAAGCACAACACTCTACTGACTTCGATTTCGGCCTGTATGTATTTTATGTGCAACTAAGTAGATAAAAAACTTACCATTAATAGACATAAATGCATCTCCCATCATAGTATGGGCATCAGCCATAGGATGATTGCTCACAATTTCCTTAAAACAATTCGTAAACATCGCTCGATCATTCTTCTCTTTCAAGTAAATATGAGCCATTCTACTATGAGCTTGGAAATAGTATGGTTGCCCTGGCTTGATCTCATTTAGAACATCAATAGCATTGTCGACGTCACCATTTTGTAACGACAATTCAGCCCTAGCTATTGATAGACGACCTTCTTCTGATGTATAAGAGAATTCTTGTATTGCTTCCTGAAAATAAAGTTGCAGTCATGACGAAATTGATGACCAAGTGCGGCTATATAGTCCCAATGTGTGGAAAGCAAAGGAAATCACCGCCAATGTGACAGAAATTTAAGGTATATAAAAAAATGGTGAAAACTCTTATATAGAATTACCTACTAATATTTACATACAAATATATAATCTTTTTAATACACATTACAAGTAAAAATAAGGTAATGTAATACAAAAAAAATTATTAATTCAATCATTAGCTTCCAGCATGTTATTTTTTCATAGCATGAAGGTGGCAAACAAGCATACAGCCCATCTGGTAAACAGTCACTGTAGACTAAGAACGCCTGCAACATTAGGGATATCACGTAAGCGTTGCCAACCCTGAAGAAACTTCAATATATCTTTTTATAAGAACCCCACAACCTTTACGGAAATCCTCGGAAGGGAGCTCATTCCACAGCCTGAGCTTCGCAGGAGAACACGCGTTTAAAACCACACTATAATAATTATTTAGATACTAGCACATGAGGATAAATTCCCTGTCGATGGCGAGCACCACGATGTTAGAAGGAGGTATTATATTGTATATATGTATTACTCTTTCTGATACATGTTGTAACATGTAGTGATTCCATAATTATAGTTTATTACAAATCAAGTTTAACTAAATTACCTGCATAGTTTTTCCAGCTTCAGCAAGCAGTCCCAGCGAAGATTGTAATTCTATGATTTGTAAAAACAAAGTAGCTTTATCTATAATATTAAGATCTGATTCATATAACCTACTTATATGGCTTGTACCACTTTTTCCAGTTGCAACCTGTAAGCTAGTAGTGAAACTAGACAGTGCGTCTTGGTATTGATGAGCGCTTTTTGAAATAACTCCACTGAGAAAGTGATACATCGCGCTATCTCTTACTTTAAAATTATAACTTAGACAAATTTCTAGACACTGAGCAGCCTTACTATAAGCCTCTTGCTGAATGTAAATTTGTGCGAGCAGGATTTGACTACCTGCATGAGTGCTATCCAACTCGTTAACTTGCTGTGCTAACTTATGAGCTTCATTTGAGTAACCAAACAAAAACTTCAATTTAGCTAATTCATACAAAGCAGTCAGTAAACCTGGACAAGCTTCACAGATGGTGTTTAGTAATGTAAAACAATGTGAAACAGATTCATTATTACTTTCCTCTGCATACAATAAATAATCCACTATAACAAAAGGTTTCTTAGGTAAATGCTTTTTATACTCTTTGTAAACTTCTAGAAGAAAATCAGGATCTAAATCTTTAACATACGTCAAGCTGAAGCTATACCGTTCAGCATAGGAAATTTTTGTCTCATATGCAGTATTCAAGAATGACACAGCATTCTGAGAGTTTTTTGCATTTAATTGGGCTAATAAAAGATACAGGATGGGCAATTTGTTCATACCCTGCATTTCAAAAAGCAACTCAACCTGTTGTGCTATCTGTTCTGTTGGACCATTCTCAAACATCTGGCAAAGAGTTAAGCCACATAGAGCTGTAATAGAATTACTATCTATTTTACTAGCTGCTTTGAAAAAATTCACTGAATCCTTATATTTCCCTTGAAGTATACACTGATATCCAACTTCACTTAAATAATCCACATTTTTTGGATACATTTCTGAAGCATACTGCACAAACCTGTAGACTTGAGATAAAACAGCGCTAGATCTGCCACAAACTTTAGAGAATATTTGAGTAGTATTATAAAACTGATAGCCATTATGTGTTTCTTCATTTTCCAGTGTAGTAAAAAAATTATTCAATTGATCAGCAGCCTCAATGTAATCCGAGTTCTTACAAAGTGCAAGAAATATTTTAATCTTTAATGCTTCTATATTATCTGGTTCTAAAGAGAAAACCCTTTCCATTGTATCATAAACTGTTTCCCATTTCTGCATAGCAAACTCATTCCTCAATTTCTCTATGAGAGGTACAACTTGACCTGGATTGTTTACAATCAATCTGTCTAGAGTTAAATTTGAAGCATCATAGTCTTTTGCAAAGTATTTAAACTTAGCCAAACCAAGTAGAGCTTCAATATTTCTATCACTTTTATTGAGTGCTAACTCCAAGTAATCTAAAATAGACATTTGCATGTCATCCATTGTCATGTACATATCATTCCAGCCTTTAAGAATAATGGCATCCAAATTGTTAGGATCCTTTTTAAGTGCCTTATTAATATATTCAGATGCCTTCTCATATTTCTCAGCCAAAGATAAGAAAAGACCTGCATAATAGAATGACATGGAACTGCCTTGCTTTTTTTCCTCCTTCAATTTGGCCTCCAAATTATATATGGAATCTTTTTCCAAAGTACTAGCAAGTTTATGGCCATATATAAGAGCAATAACAACAGCCAATTGAATATCTCTGTCAGACTGTAAAGGAGTAAGATCGCTAATCCCTTTTTGTACTTGGCCTTCTAAAATACTTGCTAGCCCATGATAAAAATGAAATTCAGTTGTGTCATTATATCTTAATGAGGCTTGTACAGCAATTTTTTTAGCTTTTCCATAACATTTATCCCGTAAATAATAATGAATATTACATCTATGCCATGCTACCTCCATAATTACAACTGTTATTCTAAATCAAGCTTAATATTAAGTTGTTTGTATTTATTTAGATTTTTCTGATAATAGTTGGCAAGAAAGTGACATTTGCATGTTACATCCAATTTGTTGTCCACTGCATGGGCAAAGGCATACTGTTGGCAAAAAAAAAAACAAATTTAATTTTATATAACAAGAAAGGACAATTTAAAAACTAGGTAAGTATGTGTGTAATGAATAAATTTAAAAACTACTTTGCCGATTTCAAAAATTTTTTCACCATAAGAAAGCTACATTCCCCTAAGTAACATAGGCTATATAGGAACCCTTACTAAAACTTTAATAATGTAACTCAAGGAAAAAAAAAATGCTATAAAATATTCTTTGTCGCATGCACTGTGGAAACTTTTGGTGATAGAACAAAAATATGTTCTATAATATTAGAGAAAATATCAATAACTACAAAAAACTTCGCCATACTATTTGTCCAACTATTATTGTTATGTCACAATAACTACTTTTTAAAATGTTGTAAAAATGTTCACCCATGCGAAGCCGGGACGGGCCTCTAGCATACATATAATAAGAAGAGGAAAGATTTCATTTGTAAAAAATAATATAAATAAAAAAAATTAATTTATTTACTGATTTTAAAAATTCTTTCATTTATAGAAACCTACATTATAAGTGCCTAACATAAGCTGGACCTTATTTAAAAAGAATCCTAAAAATTTAATGTTATACTTCCGCACCTTGCAATATATTTTACCGCATCCCACTCTTGAAGGTAAAGATATTTCCTTGATGATAGAGAAAGTTAGGAGGGTACCTGTTTAGGCATTTTTTATAATATGGCAATATTCAGGTAAAAATCAAAAGAATATAATATTATACCTCAGCCAACAGCTTGCCAACTCCCTTTCCCTGGAATTGCTGTGGTACTTCTGTATGCACAAATGTTATTTGCTTTCCATTCTTTTCATAATCTAGTACAGCTTCAGCTAAAAATTCACATAAATAAAAATCTATTACTGAATGTATGTAAGCGCATTACTTCAGAATGACTGCACTTGTTTTGTAATTATCAGAACAAAGTTTGTATGAAAAAAAGTTTGAAAAATATTAATGGTTAAGTGAAAAAAATTATACATTTGTGAGAAGCCAGGGCGGGCAGGTAGTTTACAACATAATTCACAATATTATAGTTTTTAACATTACTGGATCTAGAAAATAAGTCATTTATTAAATTAAAAAGAGCAAGTGGTAGTGTATTATAATCCTAACTCCTTTTGTCTTTTATGATATGAGAGTGATGTACTCTTATGGTTGCATCTCCTAGGAAGGAAGATGATTTCAATGGTTTTCTTACTTGTTAAGCTAAACACAATTTATGTAAATATTTGTTGCAGACTAAAGCAGCATATAAGTTAAAGGTATTTAGGTAAAAACCATACTGTACCCAGTTTATACATAAATATCTTTTAGGCTATTTTTATGTAGATATCCAGTTACTGGTATATTTTTAGTTAAATGTATCTATTATCTTACAAATATTAGAACTAATGTTACCACTTACCAAACCCCTAAGGCTGTCCACTGTCCAACGATGGTAGTAAATTATTTATGTACTAAATAATAAAGTATGAAAAGAAAGGTTGTGGTGAAGTTATTTTGCCGTTTATTAAACTACGATTATACCAAGTTATTAGCAGCACTATACTATGATTCGTGGTTTTAATGAAAAATTACATGAAATGTTATCGACTTTGATAAGATACATAAATAATTATTAAAAAAAAGTTCTATTACATACCGCCCGGAATGGATACGGAAAACTGTTGCTTAGCAACATTGTTGACAACTTTTAGGACTTCCGTCGAAAAAGCTCTAGCGCGTGTGATCATTCCACTCATGGAGAAGACTTTTTTGTACAAATTAAAAATTTTTGGTATAGTCTAAATATTTGATTTTTATGCAACAGTTTATTAGTAATGGACTAGCAAGTACAGATAAATACTAAACAGTCTGATAAGAAATTTATATGCTAAAAATAAATCTATTTTGTTATCTTATCAAATTGACAACTAGACATTGACAGTGACGGTGTAGACAAATTATACTTTTAATTTTTTCTTTTTCGGCTTCTAATGATCCGTGTGGATACATTTAATTTAAAAGATATTTTGATTTAGTTCCTAATTTCTTGTACTGATTTTTTAATAAATTAAAACATTTCATTTCGCTATATTTTTTATCATATTAAAGGTAATTTAATTTGAACTTAATTTGGAAAGAATGGTTGAAGATCTACCATTTTTTACCTATAATTTTCATAACAATAAGAAAATTGTAGGTAAAAAATGGTAGATATAAAGCAAATCCGTCTAGACAAAATATGAACGAATCTGTCGTTAAAATCTTTTCGATCAGCGCCTGCATGATAAAAAAAAAGATAGCGCTCGTTACCATCTCATTCTCATCTCATAATCACTAGCAATAATGATTTTATAGATTATCATTTTATCTAGGGGGTCTTTTTAATGAATGAAAATAGAATGGTAACCTCGCATATGCTATCGGTATGCTCTGGCGGTATATCTGATGCTCCATCAGGGAATAAGGATGAAAGCAGGTTAGTTAGCCCGTTGTAACAAATTCTACTAAAATTAACCACAATGGTTTCCAAGGCGAACCACATGGGAGTTGACCTGATAGAATATATTGCTAGAGATAAGGCTTCATTACTCATAATTCCTTTCCCTTCTGTCTAGGGGAACTGAATGAATACTGGAGATGTCGGTTAAAGAATTGATTGTAGGCGAACATAGGTTTTTAGATTAAAAGAATTAAAAGAGCTTTTATGGCTATTTTTCAGTAAGAAATGACCATGCAAGAAACAATTAGAGGTAGACTTTGCATTAGTGCATCATGTGTATCAGTTAGAAAGGTTTGATTTAATAATGAAATTACATTGTATAAAACTATAAATGAAAACATAACACCTTAGTCCTCAGGAATTGCAAACTATATACTATATTTTGTGATGTGAATTGTCCTGATCAATTTAAAGGAGACAAGGCATGCTTACAGCTTCCCATATTCTGAAATATCATGTATATTGTCTTGTCCAATTGTTGTTCGTTTTATATTATACTAGGTACAGTATTACAAACTAAATTACTAAATTACATTTTATATTCTTAAATAAATAATCGGTGTGTTTTGGCATTACTATCACGGCTACGTACTAAGGATTGTTCATTTTATGTAGCCATACATCAATCATTAACCGATTGACAATACAGAGAAATGAGGTACTTGACCCCACGTTTGAAACTTAAATGTGTCTATACTACATGCATAAGTCATCCGTGGTATCAGTTTGGGCAACCGGCGGACTTAAGTGGTTGCCCTTGACCGATGTTTGTTGACCCGTCTATTTTTTAGTCAACGATAGATGTTCTTGGGTTCTATTCGAAATACTTAAAAAGTTACTCGATAACTGACCGATGTATATACATAGAATATTTAAAATAAGACTAGCAAAATTAGTACAATCTTAGAATAGTGTAATGTAATAAATGTCAAATCAATAATTATACCCTCACTTCACTATTTAAGAAAAATCGAGCATGAGAAATGAAGTTCATTTTGTTTTATTATAATATTATCAAACATGATTGTCTGTCTATTATTACCTGGGTACCTAATCTACCTACATACCTTTATTTTTACTAGATGGAGACTATACATAAGTACGTGTAACATTGCGCTTTATCGGCATTCAAGAAAAATCGGCAGTGTGATGTTATAGCGGTAAAATTACAAGGTTATTTATATTCCTTAGGCATAACATCTTGGGCATAAGGAATGGCAACATATAAGGAATAATATGGACGTCATAATGTATTCTGTAAAATCCTTGATACTATTGTGGTTCCGTTCCATCTATCTATATCTATAGGTGACAGTAACATTTTTCATCGGGTGAGATGACGATTGTTTGACATTCCAAGATGCATTAAAAAGTCTGTGGCTAATATCTCGATGTAGACGTAGATTATTTTCGATAATTGGCCAGTGGATCATTTCTCGTGGATACACCCAAGATGAAGATGGGCAGAGTGAAAATGAGAGTTTCCCGACCTGTACCTTATATGGACTATGCTATAATTCTATTGTCATGTAACATTTTATTCTAATTTAAGCAGACAAAATCGGGGGTTACGACAAATAAAACATGCTAACTCATTACGGACTCGACGTGGCAAAAGGTCTAATGGAAATTATTTATTTATCGAAATGACTCATTTGATCACATAGCATCATGTCACCATCAAGACTTGTATCCAGTATACTGGCACCACATGGATGAGTCAACAGGCGTCCCGCGGTTGCGCCCGCGCAGAGCTGGCCGTTGATACGAGCACAGTCGCACTTCGGGCGCAGCGCGCGCGACGCGCCATCATAGTTTATTGACATACGCTTCGCCGGCAAGAAGCTCGTTAACATGTGAACTGTGAAGAACTTATATTTGTAACAATTTAATGTATGTGTGATTATGTGTAAATAGGCAATTCGGAAACCTCGTTCTTTGGAATTTTTAGCATATTTTATATGTCTGTTCATATCTGTTTTATTAATTGAAACAGTTATTGATCAGCAGTAATTATAAATGCTAAACTACCTCTGCAGAAAAGGTCAAAAATTTATGAACTCCTTTACTATATAAATTGCAACGAATTAGGCACCTACACTTTGTATTAAGGTACCAACAAAAACTTAATTGCATGAATATTTTTAAAGTTCTCATTTCTCATATTCTATCCTCGTAGAATTGATTCAAATTAGAGGATCAAGTCACGGATTTGTACCTAAGGCTTCTAATACATGTCAAAAATACAATTTGAATCTAAAAAGTGTAAGCGTACATTTAAATTCTGAGAACCGTAGCCATAGACAGAATACGTTTTTCGCTTGCAGATAAGTATTGTTTTGTAAATGTGATATTACGGCAGTGGTGGTAGATGTGACGAATCAAGTGGTAGTTGGTGCAGCGTGCATATGGGGCAATGCGTGTCCCGGAGTCATCCGGGCCCGTACACCTTCTCCCGTCATTACGACGCTGAGAGCATCGCAAGCAGTGTCAGTGGTTTCGGAAGAAAGGTGAGAAATATGTTGTTTAATTATTATGAGAAAAAATTAATGTTCTTTAAGTATCTACGAGTATATTATATTTAGATAGTATAGTATTATATTATCTGTCAATTAGATCATCAGTGGGTTAAGTAACTACCTTCATATATTTTTGGAAAATTTATGCCATTTTTTCTGACTGTAGTTACTTCGTTTTAATCGAAATTGTTATGATAGGTTCGTATAAATACCCTCATTTATAAATAAACCGAAAGTGATAATCAAAAGACTTGCTACTTGCTTGATGTAAAGTATTAGCAAGATAAATGGAGAGATAATTTTCTGTAATCTTGAATATTTTGTACAATCTTTATATCACGTTTCATCTAAAAATTGTTCAGAAGATTGTGTATGATTGAATAATAAATCTAGTAACGTCTTCAAAAGTTTTTCATTTATGACGCTATTTATATTGATTTTTTTAATGGATGGTAATTGAGTGGTTTCCCCGCCTGCGCTAACGGTATTTGCTGGCGGGGTACCAGTGGGGATGAAAGGGCAGGTCAGTTAGTCCATCGTGATGAATACACCTGGAATTCAGCACGACGGTTTCCAGAGGGGACCACGTGGAGGTCGACCTGACAGAGTATATTGCTAGTAATGGGACTGATAGTCTACATTACTAAGATCCCCAGTCCCCCCATCCTGTTTTATGTTGATTGACAGGAACAAGAAGAGGCTTTTTTCTTTTTCATTCCAAATATTAAGTGCAGATGTTTTAAATTTCATGATCAGTTGGACTAATAAGGCGCTAAGAATTAACAAACAAACAAACTCACTTTCATATTTCAGCACCAAGCTACGAACAAGGAATTACGAAATCTTTGGCACCAAGAATCGAAACTATTGTCAGAAACAACCATAGTAAGTTGGTTAAATTTCCGTTTTTTCAATTACTTATAAATAGGTAAAAAGAAATATAATTTTTAACCGCCATCGTTACTAATGTAATATTAATAAAAGTGAGTTTGTTTGTTATCTTCTATTACCATGACAGTTTAACCAATTACGACGACGTTTACACCAAATTTCATGAAACTATCATGAAATTTTTTTGTCGTTTCGTTTGACTCTTAGTTTTAAAATACCTATTTCATCATCATCATCATATCAGCCGTTAACTGTCCCCTGCTGAATATTGACCTAAAATATTTATTTAATACACTAGCATTTAGTCCTACAGGTGAGCATTAGTAATAGAAAGTGATAATAATAAGGAACAGGGGGGAGAAGGGTTTATTAGTAATGGGGGTTAGTATCCCGATTGCTAGCTCTGTAAGTCCACCTTACAGAGCGATCTCCTCGTGGTTCCCCCTGGAAATCATCATGATTGATTTATTAATAGATTCATCACGGTGGGCTTACTGACCTGCTTCATCTTCACCTATCATCCCTCATTGGTGCCCCGCCGGTGTATATCGATAGCGCAGGCGGGGTTACCATTCCATTATTATCCATTAAAAAAAATAACAAGGGTAATGATTCTTGACGTCATTCACGTCAAATTTTTGTCGGTTGATATTTAGTAGATTTTAAAATATCTCTCATAATCTTCCATTTAAATCGGTTTAGAAGGTTAGCGGTAAAATCGTACAATTTAATATACGATCGACTTAAAAGATACCTGTACCACGCATCATTATAAATATTTATTATATAGAAATTAATGAAGCTATAAAAGAGGAAAGGTGGAAGTGTGTAAGTAATTGGTTTATTAGGCACGATAATTACATCAACGAGCTACTATGTATGGTAGATGCAACTTTAAATATTTTTTTTAAGATATCTTTTAAATGTTTACCTAAGGTACATTATGCTGTATTGCATCATAATTTTGTTTAGTAGTTTCCATTTAATTCATGTATTTAAACACAGAAAGCCTTTAAGGACGGTGGAGTCCTCGAGAGTATCTACTTTTTTGTTGTATTTGAACAGATAATTTATAAAAATAAATAGATATAGAAGAAAAATTGTCGCAAAAAATTACACGAACTTATTTTTTTTTTTTTTACTATATTTAGCATTTTTACCAAATTTATAGTAAATAAAAATAAATATTTAATGTAAAAATTAATTTATTCCAATATCTAACTGTTAAAATTAAAGAGTTAGGTGCGTAATAAAATTACTGCTGTTTACATTCGTTACATTTCAACTTGAACTGTGCATAGTTCACTTATCTATCGGTACCGGCCGATACAGTAAGGTACGTGTGATACATATTGAACAATTTTGTAGTTGACCTTATGGCTTAACAATATAAGATAGGTATGTTGACTGTAGACTTTTACAATAAAAGTAGTATCTCTTCATAATAAATGTAATAAAATAATAATAATAAATAAATAATAACAATAATATAGCTTTTGCGTGTAGTTATGCACACATGATGTCGTGTTTTCCCATAAAGATGGAATTTTCAAAAATCGTTTTTTAGCAGATGCCTTACATTGTGTTAAAAAAATTGACTTAAATTGTAGCAAAATCAGTTATTTTGATTTAAAACCTAAAGTACTGAACCGATTTTAATAAAATTTCTATGGGACCAAACTGTAAATGTACCCTTCAGAAAAAAAATCTAATCGGTTTACAACTGACGGAGTTATGAGGTGGTACAAAACGAGGTGAAACAAAAGCACAACCGAATTGAGAAACATAAGTTATAAATTTTAGCTTCCTAGATTTTATAATATGGTGATAGTTAGTCAAACAATTTTATAAGTATAGACCTTTATGTTCATAGGACATCATAGGATTCATTGTGATGCCATTGATACTATTCCAAGATCAGTGGTTAACTTCACCGTTCTGTAAAAAAAAAAAAAAAAACTATAAAAACCACAAATTTTAAAACGCAGCTGTTTGTCGGATAGACTTTTAATCTGTCGTCACGTAGCATGAGGACGATTGTATACAAAATAATTGTATCATTTGGTAAATAGTTAGTTCAATTATCCTCTTAACATTTCAGACCAAATTTTATATTTAAAATCGCTGAAGCTGTCTTGGTGCCCCGCCAGCGTATACCGTTAGCGCAGGCGGAGTTACCATTCCATTATCATCTATTAAAAAAAAATACTATTTTCTATTCCGTCTAAATTTCAAGATATGGTTGCTATAATTCTAATGAAATTCCGGTATCATTGTTAAGATTTTCAATAAAATAATTCGATAAGCTTTCAATATGGTCTGACAGATCTCGTGAGCAGCGTGCCTCATTCGAACACAAACGGTTTTATTAGACTAGATTATAACAACATTAGAACTCTGCATGCTAAAAACTAACCTACATACTTTTGTATTCAATGTATAACTACCTAGATTTGTATCAAATGATATCGCGTCGAACAACAACAGACATTATCGATTTTCAAAGCTCGCGAGGCGTGACTCGGGATGAATGGATGCTGTGGAGGAACCGCGAGATAGTACCGCCTGATATTTCTCGGTCGGCGCACGCTGTCCCACAATTAATTGCCGTATCACATAGCCAGCGATTGTTGCCCGACGGACACAATGGGGGCCACTGACCCCATCTACAATAGCGTCTTCTCATAGTAAAAGGGCTACGTAGGTTTCAAAATTAGGAGAAAGCCGACAATAAATTCATATGTCTTTTTTAAACGTTCCCAAACTTGTTTTTTTTTTACAACACAGAGGCCAAACGAGCATACGGCTCACCTGATGGTAAGTGACTACCTCCGCTCATGAGCACCCGTTATACTAAAGGAATTGCAGCTGTGCTGCCGGTCTTTTAAAAATGAATATGCTCTTTTCTTGAAAGTTACGATGACGTATCGGTTCGCATATACTGCTGCTGGGAGTTAATTCTAAAGCGTAGTTGTGCATGGAAAAACCTGACCTGTATTTCATTCTCATCTATCATCCCTCACTGCGCTAACAGTATATACTGGCGGGGTTACTATTCTATTATCATCCATTAAAAAAATTACATATATCTTCGTATTTAACTAGATATATAATAAATAGTGAAGTGGTTATAGTAATCTTAATATGTAAGACAACAGTAACTTGTTTTCGACCTTGATTAACCAGTGACTACTTTAAAGTTGCCAGTGCGGCATTCAATATCTATCTATTTATTGAATATATTTATAACGAATTACAAAAGCAGTCTCTTCATACATGCACCAGAGCTCACAGTTAAGCTGTTGATACAGATAGTCATTAATTTACTTGCTAGCTGTCAAAATGTTTCGTAACGGATTAAGTATGGCAAGTATTGAATGTCAAGGTTAATGTTCGCAAACGTCGTCGGTATCTATACATTTCTTAACAGATGACAATAGAATAGTAACACCGCGCTGGTATACGTTGATGGGCACCAACAAGGGATGAAGGTAGCCCACTAGACAAGTAGCAAACTAATCTATCGATAGAATTGTTATCGCTAACGTGTTCATAAGATAGAATAAGAGGCAACTACGATATTGTCTTAGGTGTATTTAAACGGGAATCTGAACTGTTTGGTGCCCACTGCAGGATCTGGAGAGAAGTTTTTAGTCTTAGAAAAAAATATCTCGAAAAGTACATATGAGCCTCTTGTAAAGGGCCAGGCACTTTCTGGTAAATAATTCTATCTTCGAGTGCTAATTGATTCTATTGATAAATTTATTTGCTACTTGACTAGAGGAGTCAATACGTTGGATCTTCGCGCAGTAACCATGATGCTGGATGATGATGGAGTACAGGCGCAACCACCGATACCGGTCGACCCGATAGTGTATATTTCTAGCAAACTGTCCTATCAGGTCAGGATTAGTATACTCATTACTTCCCTTCTTCTCTCATCGGTATGACGGATGGTATCTAATATACACACGCTTACAATTACTTTATTGAATTAATCATAAGTAGCTTTTATAGCTAGGTATTTTTAGACTACAAGCATACTTTCCGTAAGATTATATAATTGTTACAAAGCGTATTTGTTGTAGACGAGTAGATAT